CCTATACACTGCAGTATTGGCTAGCTAAAATGAGGGGGTGATAAAGGCACGAAGTGACTGGCTTACAAGTTTTCAAGAGGTAGTTTAGTTTAAGAGTGTGCTTGGGAAGGTAAAGTCCCTACTGAATAGTTTTCATCTTGTCTAGATGGATCTGGTGAAAAGAGATGCGGATAAGATTCTTATGATTCAATAGTGAGTAATTATTATCATGACTAATTGTGACTGTCACAACTATAAAGGTAGAAGTTTTGTAAGAAAAATGGGGGAGTAGGTCATCTTACAGTTCAGAAACAGGACCCTAGGACCATCAAGGGAGAAGAGCACAAGCAGAGTGTGGGGCTTTATCCAGAGAAACAGCGACACCAGATATGGAGGCAGAGATGGAGACATGGCGAAAGGGAGCAGCTGAGGACTCTGGACTCATAGAGAAGGATGGGGTGCTGGCGTCCAGGAGGCAGGTTTGCAGAATGTGCCCTTTTGTTGTTTGAATTAGTATATATTCCTGAGTGGTTCTGTGTACATCCCTCCCACCAACAACAAACAAAACAAGGAATGGAAGCAAATACTGTTGAGTGATGATGCATGGAGGAGATTGCAATCATTGCAATGAAAGGACGGTGTTAAGCCGATGTTCTCCCATGTAAACTATCACTCAGCTCACAATAAAAACTTACCAAAAAAATTTGAGACAATAATAAACAGTAAATTAAAATTTTTAAAAAAGAGAGCAAGTTTCAAATAATGTGGGATCTTTCTGAGCATGCATAGAAAAAGGTCTGTGGTTCTTGTTGTTAAGTGCCATTGAGTTGGTTCTGATTCATAGCAACCCTGTATAGGGTTTCTGAGGAGTGGCTGGTGGGTTTGAACCACCCATTAGTTAGCAGCACCTTATCCTTCAGCGCCACAGCACCACACCAGAATTCCAGGAAAGGGTCTAGAAAGATTTATAACAAGCTACAAACAGGGAGTGGATAAGTATGGAGTACATGAGGACAAAATTTTTTTTGTTTTTAACTTCATATTCCACTCTATTATTTGATTCCTTTACAGCAATACTTCTGTAATAAAAAATGAATAAAGAATAAATTCTGGGACATTTAGCAATCTTTGGCAATGGCTCTGTACCTTTTGAGTGGGAAATAAATCTTTAGAGGGAGGCAGCCCTTCAGTGCTCAACCCTAGTTGATATAGGCTTCTGGAGCCCTGAGATAATTGCCCAGGGCCAGCAGCCACGTTTTGAGAGTGGGTGTGTTGTGTGTGTGTGTGTGTGTGTGTATGTGTGGCTAGAGAATAGTGAGAAGAGTGGATTTTAGGAAGAGTGCAGATATTGGCTTAGTGCAAAACTAGAAAAGGGCAGGTCATGAAGCTGGGTTCTTGAGCCTTCCCCCCAGACCACCACTGATTGCCCTTTACCTCATCTTGACGACTTCCTTTTCCTCATCCCCCCTCAATCCCAAACTCAGGTCTACACTGTAGGCATGGCGTATGGTCTTTCCTCCCCATTGCTAGTCTCTCCCCCTGTGTGTTACTTTTAGCCAGCTGCTCCTGGGGAGGCTGTATTACTTTTGGGCAGGAATGAGGAATGTTGGCTTCACAACAGAGGACCCTGGTTGGGTATAGATCATAAGATTGGGCTGGGGAGCTGTTGGGCGCTACCAAACACAATACAAAAGATGATGGAATAAATGACAAATTATTAACAGCTGATAAATGTTTGGGTGGTTAATGCAATAGAGCTAGGACTGGGGTCAGGAACTATGACTCCCTATAGTTTGACTTCTTAGCATTCTAAGTCTTTCCCAAATGGCCCTAACCCACACTTCTACAAGGCTGATGTACCCGATAGGCACAGTGTGTAGGTCACACAATACTTCTAGAGGCCCATGCCAGTGTTTTAATTTCCTTAAAGATTATTGGAGGTGGGCATGAGTAAGAAAGCAAGTAAAATCTAGTTTGTATTATTGTGGTAGGTTATGGTTATGTGCCATGGACTCAGTTCCAACTCATAGTGACCCTGTACAGGGTTTCCAAGGCTGTAAATCTTTACAGGAGCAGAAAGCCTCATCTTTCTCCTGCGGAACAGCTGGTAGTTTTGAACTGCTGACCTTGAGGTTTGTAGCCCAATTTGTAACCACTACGCTACCAGAGCTCCTTAGTATTATAAGCATCTTTATATCAGTATAGGAGCCCTGGTGGTGCTGTGGGTTAAGCATTGGCTCTAAACCAAAAAGTTGAGGTTCAAACTCACGAACTGATCCATGTGAGAAAGATGAGGCTGTCTGCTCCTGCAAAGATTTTCAGTCTCAGAAACCCTGAGGAGCAGTTCTACTCCTGAAGGGTCACTGAGTCAGAATCACCTCATCAGCAGTGGGTTTGGTTTGGTGGGTTTATACCAATGCAGTTGTAAAACATAATTTGATTTTTTTAAATGGAGTAAAGGTCCCATGGAGGCAGAAGTGCTCAGGGCCCATGAAAGTCATAATGTAGCCTTCTTCTAGCTTCTGCACACACCACTTTCTCACCCTGATGACCTCCTGGTTTCCCACTTGGATCTTTGTGCCTCTGAGGCTTTGCTGATGCTCTATCTTTACTTTTTTTACCTTTCCCATCTGAGGACTCATCCTTTGAGGTAAGATGTCACTGTGTTTATGAGGTTTTCACTTATTCCCCTAAGTGAAAGGAATTATTCTAACTCTCCTAACATACCTTTAAATATCTCCAGGCTTGTCACTGGATGATACTTTGTTTCCTCAGCTCGAGAGTGTTCCCCACGCAGGAAGGGCCTCATCTTACATCTTCCCATAACCCTGCGTACATGGCATTCGACACACAAAATGTAGGCTAGATTTGGGGTCAGAGAATGTTTGGGAACAAGAGACTTGGACTGTGATAAAATCTCCCTGAATTGAATCAAGTTATTCTCCAAATGGATCATTGTTGGAAAACACAGTAGAGGAGGAACTAAACACAAGCTTCCTTTACCACTGTCATAAAACCTTTATTTCCCACCGAGATCCCATGTACGATTCTCTTCTCTTCCAGGTAAGAACGGTTCCTTTCTCCATCCCAGGTCATATCCTGGCCATGATCACTCTCTTTGGCTTGATACTCCAGAATGTCCTGCGGCTCTCCTCAGATGTGTGCAGGTAACAGAAGGGAGCTGTGGTCCAATGGCACCCTCGTGTGGCAATGCTCAAGATGACAGCCTGCCACTGAGTTCAAAGAAAGCTTCCTGGATGGAATTTCAGTTCTAAGCAGCTGGGCTCTCCACCTCAGGCAAAGAAGCCATGGACAGTGGGGCCCAGATGTGGTCACCAGCTTGTTTGCATATCATGTCAGGTCTGCTCAACACGGGGAATTCATGAGAGTTTACTCTACCCTGCACGCTGCCCCGGCTTCCCTAGACTGCCTAGAGCCTATCTATTCAGGACACCTGGGTTTTAGCTTCAGCTCTGCCAATACCTTGCTGTGTGACCTTGGTCAAATTGCTTTACCTCTTCGGCTTCAATTTCATAATATGAAAATGGTAAGGATAAACGGAAACAATAGTTTTTAAATTGTGCTCTTAGTAGTTTAGGAGCTGGTAGGCATTGCCCTCTCCCTCCTTCAGTTTCACCGAGGGTCTTTTATCTGCTTGATATATTGTTGTTAAGTGCCGTCGAGTTGGTTCCGACTCATAGTGACCCTGTATAGGGTTTCCAAGGAGCCTGGTAGGTTTGAACTGCTGACCTTGTGGTTCACAGTCCAGGGCTGATCCTATAGCGCCACACCAGGAGTTATAGGGTCTTGAAAAAAAAAGTTCTGGTACTTAAACTTGAAAATCCCTGGCTCCACAAGCTTTCTTTCAACATGACTATTCTAGGATTCTCAAATGAGATCTCTCCCAACATGGCTACCTGGCTCCATTGTTCTAGGTTTGCCCAAGGCCAGCCACCTGCAAACAATCAGCAGTGAAGGGAAGAGGAACTGGGAAGACTGGCCGCTGGCTATGTAGTGTTGTGGTGTAGTGGAAGGAGCCCAGGTTCTGAGTTAAAGAGCAAGTTTCAATCCTGACTCCACCACCCCCTAACTGTGGAACTGTGGGCAAGCCCGTCTACAGATCTCTACTTTAGCTTTCTTATCTGTAAAATGGGCAAGGCGATTCCTCACCTGTCTTTTTCAAAGTATTGTGCAGATGAAGTAAGATGACAGATGTTGGTCAGGGCGCTTTCTGTCAACCAGAAATGGTTCTACCAACTTCGAGTAATGTTAGCAGGGAGGCTGTCTTAGACGTCTCATTGTCTGTTAGGACACATTATTTCACTAGATTCTGTGGATGCCTTGGGTGACCAAGGATTGGGGACAAGGCTGCAGAGGTATTTGAGTTTAGCACTGTTGTCCTGGACCTTCCCCTAGCTGCCTTCTCTACTTTGGAGGCCTGCTTCTAGGACAGAAGGAAAGTCCTAACCAAATCCTTCCATTAGTGTGGCATAATGATTTTGCAAGGAGTAGAAAGGTCTTGCCCTGACAGTCACTGGGTTTAGAAATCCATCTTTAAGGCCTGCAAAGGTGCTGATGATGGGTTTCCAGACATCAACGATCCTGTTTCCTGAGAGGCTGTGGAGGCTCCACTGTGGGTGACCAGGCCCTAGACGAAGAGCCAGTGCTGGTGGGGATCACTGGGATTGCAGGAGGCCATGGCTGGCTGCTTGTTCTGGGATGTCAAGCAGGTACCAGATCCTGAGTTCCTAATGAGGTGATCCTAAAAATAAAGACACAGTAAAAATCAACCTGGGCCTTTAGACCTTTGATAAGCAATGCTGGGGGTGGGGGGTGGGGGGTGGGCAACAGATAAAAGGCAAAGGAAACCCAACAGGGCACAAAGAGGAGCCATCCAAAGTCCTTCCCCAGCATGCCACTCTGATGGGACGCATTCCCGAGGTCTCCAACATCAATTCCTCACCCAAGCTTTAGCCTAAGTAGCTGGCATAGAGGAAGGCAGAAAGGTCGGATAACTAGAAAATGCTTTCAGGCTCCCTCCCCATGACCAGAAGCAAAGAATTGGAGCCTTTTACCCCACTCCCTAGTTTCTGCCTCTGATCATAATGACTCTTCCTTTCACCCTGTATCCCTAAGGTTAGGCTCCTCTTTACCTAAGCCAGGAACTGGAGACTGAGGTAGGACAGGATGTGAGTGCCATGGGGGTGCTGGTGTGGGCCCAGTACAGTGGCAGCTACGCTGGCTATCCTGAGATCCTGTGGTGTACTAGGAGGAGCTCATGGTTTCTAGTCAGACTTACCGAGGTCTGAATCTCAGGCCTGCCATTTACCAGTGATTGGTCTTGGGCCAGTCACCAACTTGCTGAGCTTCAGTTGTTCATCCATAGAAATGGGTATAAAACCTATCTGGGAAGGAAGCTGACGGATGTGACTGCCTACCTCTACACCTGGCACACAGACAACAGGCAGCAACCAGGAGCGATTCTTCACTCTCAGCTACTTGGAGTCAGCTTAGAAATTCTTGGTCGTGGCAAGAGCTGGCTGTAGACCATAATCCCTAACCCCATCTTCATGTTGCCCACAACAACCATCCTCTAATGTCACTTAAGCCCCTGAGGAGGCTGCCTGTGACTGAGCCCACATTTTCTAAGCTTTCTACCTAGCCCTGACTCACCCCATGGGGTCTGAGGTGGAAGTAAGTAAGAAGGCCTCAGCTTCTTGATCCTGGGCAGCAGCTGACTCACCTGAGTTAATTCCCATTCCTCGTCCTTGGGGACTTGGTTATTTTTGCCAGTGAAGTGACAGCTCCTAAGGCCCAGAGTGCCAGCATTGGCGTGTAGACACAGCTGCTTTGCGATGTTGTGGCGAAGGTCTCTCTGGGTTGTATACTCAAAGTACTGGAAGAAAAGACACGAGACGTCATCCTGAGGAATAGGCAGAGTTTGTCTACTACCTTCCGGAGTCATCTACCCAAAGATGCCACCCATGGCATAACCTTCCCTGAAGGGAGGTAAACAGGCAAGACCTTGCCTAAACTTTAGTGATTTATATGTTTTTATCATGATTTTTTGAGGAGTGCAGTGTCTCTGTAGGATAAGCACTGGACTGCTAATCACAAGGTCAGAGGTTTGCATACACCAGCTGCTCTGTGGAAGACAGATGAGGCTCTCTATTCCTGCAAAGATTTAAAGCCTCAGAAACCCTATAACAGGGTTGCTATGGCACTTAACAATTACTACTTCATGATTTTTACTGTATCCGATGGGATTACACAGAAATAATAGTTACTTCATATTTTTTCTTTAAGTTTTAACTTAGCCTAATTTTAAGAACTATCTGTAAAATCATGTATTTATTATACTCGTACGAGTTGTATTTTTGCTAAGGTTGTTGTTGTTTACTGTCTCTGGATCAGTCCCCACCTCCTAGCAAGCCCCAACACAATATAAAAAAACGCTATGTGGTTCTGCACCATGCCCAGAATCAGTTAGAATCAGATTTTTGTGATCACAGGATGCTCATTTTGCAAGTAACGTGGTATAATAGGACCAGCTTGTGTTTCCAAGTCAGGTATACCTAAGGCCTGAATCCCAGGCTTGCCGTCTACTGCCATTTTCAGGAGTAGATCACTGGACTTTTCTTCCTAGTCTTTCTTAGTCTGGAAGCTTCTCTGAAACTTGTTCAGCATTGTAGCAACACACAAACCTTCACACTGACAGACAGGCAGCGTCTGTGCAGGAAATGTGTTGGCTGGGAGTAGAACCCAGATCTCCCACGTGGTGGGTGAGAATTCTACCTTTTTCTTTTGATGGTGGTACTAATAGATTATTATTAAAATGTAAAATGTTAATCAGTTTATCACTTAAAATCATCTTGCAGACCAATGGTACAGAAAACGGTTTTAGAATGACTTCCTCTTCATACCGCCTGTTCACCCCTTTGTTTGCCTCCACTCTGTTTCTAACATCTTTTACCAGATGCTGTAGGTTGAGGTGGTGGGGACAGGGAGGCTAGTAGATATCACTCGGGAAAAGCTGGGGCACTGTAGGGCATGGGGTAAATCTTCCAAGATGCCAGGTAACTTCAGATGTCAGTGTTATCACTGTTATTATCTAGTGTCGTTGAAATCAGTCTCGACTCATAGGCGACCCTGTATAGGTTTTCCGAGAAGCAGCTCATAGATGTGAGCAACCGACCTTGCAGTTCAAACTGATCTTGTGGTCCTGTGCTTATCCTGCAGTGCCATACTTCTAGATGGTTCAAATTTGGGCGCCCTTGCTGAGGGGCTAAGTCTGGAGTGGTAGCTTCTGGGCAAGGGAGGCACTGGAGATAGAAATTGGGTGTAGGGAATGGAAATGTCCACACACTGCGCATGGCATTAGTCAGGAAGCCTCTCTGATGACAGGCCTCCTCTCTCAACCACCTCTAGTCAGTGGTCCGTCTACACCTTCCTAATCCACACTCTATCTGTGTCATGAAGTTTCTCCTCCCCGTCAAATTGGGAGTTTCCTGAGAGCAGAGCTGCTCTCTCCTCTGGTGTCTGAATTGCCTCCACTGTAGGCCTCAAAAAACAAGGCAATTTTGAGAAGAAAGTGGGCCTATGAGGAGAGGAATTATCCTGGTGTAATTGGGCTGCACACCTGGTTGCCGCCGAGGCCGTGGCAAACGTACATGATGAGGGGTTTCCCGCCATGGTTTTTCTCACCCACATCCAGGCACTGATTGATCCCAAGGTTCTTGATCTGCAAACAGAGTTGTGGAGAGAGAGGGGAACACAGTCAGGTGATTACTAGGTGGAGATACAGGGCCCTGGCTAGGATACATGTGCATAGCTGGATTTCCCCTTTATGATTAACCCAGATGCCTGGAATGCACAGCAAAGTGAGACGTAGAACCCCAGACACTGGGCAAGGGCGGGACTGGACATCCTTCCTGGGGTAGGGTGCCAGGTCCCAGGAAGCCCTCAGCACATGCAAGTTTCCTTTAGAGGACTGATTCTCAAAGTGTGGTCCCCAGCCCATGAGCATCACCTGGGATCTTGCTAGAAATGCAAATTCTCGGGCTCTGTACCTACTAACTAGAAGCTCTGGGGCTGGGCTTGGCAAGTTGTGTTCTAACCAACCACCAGGTGAGTCAAATGTACTGTATGGTTTTAGAATCCGGCTTCCATGTGGGTTTCCCCTTACAAGACTTTTTAGCTATCTGTAGAAGCCCCAAAGTGACTCCTCAGTCTTCTTCCTGAATAAAGCGTGTGGAAGGTAAACATCAATTCTTGTTTGCCACCCATCTGTGGGTAAGTGAATATCTCCAAGGGTAGATGTGATGGTGGGTAGGGAGACAGGTTTCAAGACTTACAGCTCCATAGGAGATGGGCTTCAGGTCAGGGACAAACATCTCTGGGTAGATGTTGTGTAAGAACCAGGAAAAGTCGCGACAGTGTAGTTTTTCTTTCAACTTCATTCGCTCCGAAATGTCACCAAAGGACTTCTGTCAACCAAGACATCCCCCAAAGGGTCAGTGCCACCAGCCTTGACATTTCCATCTGGGTTGAAATAGCCCAGAGAACATGCAACTCCTGGACCACCTCCCCTCAAATCCCAAATGTGTCTCAGGCTCATTCCTTCTCAAGCCCTGTTGGGCTATTGACTCAATCTCACATCCAATTCTAATCCCCATTGCCTTGGCTTTGGAATTACCACCTATGTAGCCCCCCTGCTGTCTCATCTCTTGTAACTCCCTACTGAGTTTTCTCTAAGTCTCTCATATATTCCTCCTGTAAGATGCATTTCCTCTAAATCTTTCCTTCCTCTTCTCCCCTCCTAGAGGATCCTGGGAAACTCTGAGGAAGCAACAAATGCTCCTCTCCTCATTCTTCATCTTTCAAAATCATTGTGCCTGGGACTCCCCCTCACAGGGTTCAGAGGGGTGAAGGGAGGTTCCACATGGTAGTGATGAGGTGGCCTCTGTCATTAGCCCTTGAAAAACCTGTAGGATTTTGAACATCTCTTCATCCAAACATACAGAGTTGCTAAGAGTCAGAACTGACGTGACGGCACTTAACAACAATACTACTTTCATCCAAGTACTTCCAGAGAATCACCGTCTCTCACCTCTTTAGCCATCTTTGCTGCTTGCAGGTTTCTTCGGTAAAAAATCTCCTTATAGTCATCCATCCAGACCTCAGCCAGGCGCACTTGGTTGCGAGCAATAACATTGATACCCTTGGGGAAGGTGTGAGGGCTCTTGGTTCGGAACACGTGGCCTACCACAGAGCAGGGGATGATCTCCAGCTGGCCCCCACACTGCCACACCTGCCACAGGAGAGACCGAATGGGTTCTTCATGGGTGAGTCAAAAAAATCTTCCCCAAGCAGTAATGTTCTATCCCCCAGGTGCCAGACCCCAGGCCCGGAGGCCCAGGAAACAGCTGGTCTTTCTTCTTGGGGGAACAAAACAAAATAAGACATTGACCAGGCCTCTTTCCAAGGCATGATTCAAGCTCCTCAAATCAAGATAGACTTGTGACCCAAATCAGAGCATCGATGCATTAACAATGAAGATGCCAACTGTCAGGTGGCCTGTGGGACACATTAGTGTCCCAAGAAAGAGAATGCAGGGAGGTTATAGGCTCACTGTTGAGCCTAGAATCAGAGCCCTGGGTGCTATGGTGACTGGGCTGGTTTAACACTGGGAGGTATGTTGTTCCTTACTTCTAGGCTAGCAGCAACAGAAACACATCACCATAGTCATAGTAACAGCAAGTATCAATTACGTGCTTACTACATGCCAGGCTCTGTGAGAGGTGACTTCATAAATGACCTCACTTACTTATTAATGACCTCTCCCCTGGCATGCTGCTTTGTGTAGATTTCATGGAAAGGGAATTCTTTCTGATATGATCCTGATCTGCCGAATTCTAGAGTCCCTCAGAGTTCTGGGATCTACCAGGATTGGGGTCACCATCTTCCTCTTGACGTATGTGGAGTTTGCTAAGCAAAGGGCAGCTCCAAGGACACCAATGCATATGTCCTATGACCTGGAGAGGGAAGCTCTATTTTTCCAGAAATGGGATGGTGATTGGCTTCTGACCTGTTTCCACCTTTACCTTCACCATTTTCCCACAGATATTGTAAAAGATGTCACCCGTCCTATTGCCACTATGATCCCTTCCTTCTGAGAAGTGCTGCCTAGTAAATGTCCAGTAGTCCAGTTTGAGTCCCAAAGACTCACTACCATGGACAGGAAGGGGATCAGAGGAAAGGTGGAACTTTCCTCTTTTAAGTTGCCTGAAGCTACTGCTGCTCCCAAGATAGGTTCTGAGGTATCCCAGGGACATGGTGGTTCCCCACCCCCAATGCCCCCTTTGCTCTCACCCGGAAGGACATTTCCACGTTCTCCCCTCCCCAGATCTCCATCTGATTATCATAGGTACCGATGTGCTCAAAGTAGGACTTGGAGATGGAGAAGAGGCCACCAGCAAACGTTGGGGATCTGGAGAGACAGAGGGAGAGGCATGTACACCTTCTGGAGGGAAGCCTGGCGTAAAACACCTGCATGTGGGTGGACCTGCTGCTAATGCCTTCTAATTTACCTCCCCCTCCATCCCCTGTTCTGGGAAGTGTAGCCCCTTTTCCACTAACTCACTCATTCATTTAGTAAATATTTTTTGAGCATTTACTAAGAAGAAATGTAGTTATACTGTCTCCCAAAGGTACCCATTCATTTATTCATTCATTTAATCAGCAATGTACAAGGGGTTTCAAAAGGTTCATGGAAAAAAATCCATATCTTTCAATAATTTTTTCACAAACTTTTGAAGCCCTCCCATAATAAACAGTACCTGTGCTATCTGATGGACATCTGAGACTGAGAAAGACACACATCTCATTCTCTGAGCACTGACTTGTGTAGCACAGGGAAAACCACCACAGTCTGTCTAAGGCAGCAAAGTGCCTGGAACATAGTAGATGCTCAGGTATCAGAAATTGCTTGAAATTATTTTTGGAAATATGCACGCTTCAAATCATGAATAAATGAAAGAATACTATCAGCTGGGCTGGTGCTGTACAGTTTTAGGGCCCTTGGCCCTCTGAGATAATTTAAAATGTAATAAAAATTTAAGTTGATTCTCCGACTCATTGTTGTTGTTGTTAAGTGCTGTCAAGTCGGTTCCAACTCATAGCGACCCTGTATAGGGTTTCCAAGGAGTGGCCGGTAGGTTTGGCCTGCCGACCTCATGGTTGGCAGTCAAGTGTTTATCCTACAGCACCACCCCAGGACTCCACTGACTCATAGCAACTCCATTTATTACAGAGTAGTACTGTTTATGGTGTTGGAGGAGAATATTGAAAGTGCCATGGGCTACCAAAGGAACCAACAGATCTGTGTTGGAAGAAGTGCAGCCAGAGTGCTCCTTGGAGGCCAAGATGGCTAAACTTCGTCTCTCATACTTCGGACATATTGTCAGGAGGGACCACTTGTTGGAGAAGGATATCATGTTTGGTAAGGTGGAGGGTCAGAGAAAAAGAAGAAGACCCCCCCCTGTGAGATGGATTGGCAAAGTGGCAGCATCAATGGGCTCAAGCGTGGCAACAATCGTGAGGTTGGCCCAGGACCGGGCAGTGTTTCGTTCTGTTGTGCATAAGGTCGCTATGAGCCGGCACCGACCCGATGGCACCTAACAGCAACAACTACTCCATAGGATTTTCTTACTGTGATTTTTACAGAGGCAGATTGCCAGACCTTTCTTCTGCAGCACCACTGGGTGAGTTCTAACTGCCAATCTTTCTGTTAGTACCCCACACAGACTGTTTGTACCATCCAGGGATCGCAAAACCAAACTTGCTGACAATAAGTCACTTCTAACTCAGGGTAACTAATTTGTTGTTGTTAAGCGTTGTCAAGTCATTTATGACTCATAGCAACCCTGTATAGGGTTTTCCAAGGAGCAGTTGGTGAGTTTGAACCGCTGACCTTGCAGTTCAAAGCAACCTTACGGTCTAGTGCTTATGTTACAGTGCCACACCAGGACTCCTAGAGGCCCATATTAGTAGGATCACAGCCCCTGTGCTTAATATTGCATGGGAAACTAACTTTAGGGAAAAGTTTCCAGCTGCTTTGAACAGGGGAAATTGACAAGAATCATTGCTGGGAATAGGATGAGCACTGAGGTGAGATGAAGCTCAATTTGAACTAAAGGGAGCATTTGGAAGGTTATAAAAAGATTCTGGCTTCAAACAAAGGCAGGAAGGCACAGACTAGCTAGATTAACAAAAATATCTCAGTCCTTGAATTTAGATAGCAGGTTGCTCATAAAAGGAACTGAGCTAAGGATGAGAGCATCCAATTGCACAGGGAAAGCAGACTGAAAGGGGAGGGTATGCAATCATTGGAGTTGGCTTCTGTGTCTGGACCAGGCTGCTTCAACAGGGCTTTGCTGCTGTCAGTGGGTAGTAGCTTCATGTGATACATCCAACCAGGGAGACACTGACTCCTCTGTAAACCCAGAACAGATTAGGGTACCTTACTAGTTGTTGTTGTTGTATGCTGTGGAGTCGGTTCCAACTCATAGCGACCCTGTACAGGGTTTCCGAGGCTGTAAATCTTTACAGGAGCAGAAAGCCTCATCTTTCTCCCACGGAGCGGCTGGTAGTTTTGAACTGCTGACCTTGTGGTTCGCAGCCCAATTCGTAACCACTACGCTACCAGAGCTCCTTACTAGTAGCAGGGATCAATTAGTGTTTATTGGACTAATCTGTCACAATGATCACCCAGAAGCCTGACCTTGGTGTTATCCTGAGGCTGTTCTTGTAGTCCTGAGGTTGACACTTTCTAGAAGGAATTTCAGCCAGGAAACCTGTATGTTCCCTGGCTTCCCACTGGTTCCAAATCAACCCAAGTGGGGTCTAGTGAGGCTCAGGAAGTCCTGGAATTCCTGATGAGCACTTTGGAGCACAAGGGTCCTACACACCTGGGCCTGTCTCTTGGCTGGATGCCTTCAGAGCGGTACTTAGTTGGAAATTCACTGACAAATTAGCTCTGAGGATGAGGCCCATAGGGGAACACCACATTTCAACAAGCAGCATGCAAGCTTTGGCAAACACCCGCTATTTCCTGACTTATTTTCTTGGATCCCCTGGGTCCTCTACCTCTCCTCTTTGCCTCCGGTTATAGCTTTGAAAGTGCTGGGGTACTGCCAGCAGGTACCCTGAACGGATTTTATGCAAAGTGCCTGGGGTTAGCCATGCTAGCTACCAGGTCATTTGGACTATGGAGTGCATTCCAGCCTCAAACACTGCAGCTTTGTCTTCCAGCTGAATGGTCCTTGGACATCAGAGCAGGAGACGTCAGTGATGGGCAAGGGCCAGGTGCCCTGTCCCTGCCTGTGCTGCTATGTGCCTGGTCCAGGCTGGGGGGTTTGTTGCTGGATATACTGTACAAAGACATCTATGAGACAAGCAGAGGCGATAGGGAGTTCCAATTTCCTTCCTTTCCTCCACCCTTCTCTTTGCCACCTCCCCTCCCATTACTGCTTCTCTTCCTGATGGAGACAAGAGGAAGCTCATCAGGGTCCATGGGAATCCTCTCTGTGTGGCGCCCATCTAAATTTTCTCTACTGGGACTCTGGGCAGCATCTCGGGATTCTGAGTATGCGAAAGGAGAGAGACTTCAGTCCCCTCTCCTTTTAAATGTACACTCTTTATCTCTTCAACCACTCTATGCCCAGCCTCCCCTTCCCTCCCCTCCATAGGTACATTCAATTGTTCTTAAGTATCCTGGCCAGTAAAGGAAAACAATGTACAGATAATCCCAAACCAAACACTCGAAAAATCACTTCCTTACTTAGTTTGGCTGTGGCAACTGTTAGAATAAACATGTGGTCTCTAACATCACCAGCAGGCAATCGGCAGAGGACAGGGCAGGGCAGGGCAGAGTGGGGGTATATATGAGGGGGAAGGGAGTTCAGTTGGGTATTCTGGATATTCAGAGAGGATAAACTCTGGAGTATTCATCATATAGGAGTCACTGGGTAGCAGAAACAGCTAAGTGCTTGACTATTAGCCAAAAGATTTGTAGTTCAAACCCACTCAGAAGTACCTTAGAAGACAGGTGCGGCGATCTGCTTCTAAAAAGGTCACAGACTTGAAAACCCTATAGTGCACAGTTCTACTCTGCACACAGGAGTTGGAACTGACTTCACAGCAATTAACAACAACAACGTGCAAAGGATTGACAAACTATGGCCATATCTGGTTCCATAGACTGTTTTTGTAAGTTGAAAATGTTTTGGAGCTGAAAATGTTTTTCACACTTTTAAAGGATTGTTTAAAAATATAAAATGCATAACAGGCATGTTATGCATATACATAACATGTAGCCTGCAAAGCCTAAACTCTCCATTGGCTGATCCTTTACAGAAAAAGTTAATGACAGCTGCAACAGAGTGCAAACAACAGGACACATGTCGACTTCATTTTACTGTGTTCTGTTTTTTCAAAGATAGTGGCCTGGGAACACATGGCACCCTTTCAATTCCAGTGGCCTCCACTATCCCTTTCTTGCCTGCTCCAAATGTACCAGTCATGTCTCTCAATGTGTGGGGAGGGATGCATGAGATATAGTATGTAAAGCCCTTAGCCCGAAGTCTGACACACAGTAAGTGAATAACGCAAGCTGTTATGATGTGAGGCAGTCTACTGCCACTGTTTGGAGTGTGGGCTTTGGGCCAGGCAGGTCAGGATAGGTCTTCTGACTCCATCATTTGCTAATTAAATGATTTTAGGCCAGACACTGAGCCTGTGTTCTCATTTGTAAAACAAGCTTCTCACAATACCTACGATAGGGATTGTTGTTTAGTGCTGTCATCTCAGTTCCAATTTATAGCAACTCTCTACAGGGTTTCTGAGGATTTCTAGATTTGAACCGCTGACCCTGAAGTTCAGACTGACCTTGTATTCTAATGCTTATTCTACAGCACCACACCAGGACTCCAAGACAGGGGTGAGGGCTAAATAAAAGGTGTCTAGTGCTTGGTGGAGCACCTAATACTTGTTGACGTGAGATGGCCAGAGTGCCGGAACTGGATAGGACTAGGCCACGGAGGCTTGGTTTGGGGCTCACCAGGCTGTAGTCCTTACTTGATGGGGTAAGTCTCATCCTTGCGCCTCTGATTCTCAAGAGGAGGAAGAGTTTCCCAACCAAAGGTCAGGCTCCAGTCAAAGTTGCCCCGGCTATGAACTCGGCCCCTCTGGACAGGCTTGGCAAATTCGAAAGTGTTAAGGTCTATGGTGACGATGTCCGGGCTCACCACTACTGTCTCATTCTCAGCGATGCGAGCCAGAAGGGGCTCCAGCCAGCCGTGGAAGCACTCACCTGTAAGTCAGGAGGTGGCAGTCAGGATCCTGCTCAGAGCTGAGCCCATGCCCACCCCACAGGGAAGACCCAGATCAAAAGGACCCTCCATCCTACACCCTGGTTACAGAGAAACACAAGCAAGCTCTACAGCTGTAAAGAGCTCCCCTGAGAACCCATACTAACCCCTAACTACTCCTAGTGGAGAGGGCTTTGGAGGGGCTGATGGGGTTCTCAGAACGTCTGCCCCTCTCATGGCAAAGATGCCAGCATACTCAAGGGAGTAAGATGGCACCTCCAATGACCCAGCCTTTTCACTTCTCCACCCAAGTGAGGATTTCAGAAGGGGGTGTTTCCTTTCCCAGAGGTATTTGCATCTTACTGCTTTAGCTCTGGCTGTAGAGTAATATTCCCTTTCACTCTCTACCTGAGTTTTGCAATGAACCTCTCTGCATATACTACTTCGTTTGGCCCTCAGAGTGTTCTGTTAGGCAAGTATGGTCATTATCCTCATTCTCACCTTACAAAGTAAGAAATGGAATTAGTCGGTGGTAGACCCAGAAGACAAGCCCAGGCCTTTTGACTCCACGTGCTGAGCTCTTTCCAAAAGGCATCACCTTCTTAAACCCATCCTAAACCAGACCCACTGCTAATGAGTCGATTCCAACTCAAAGGGATTCTATCAGAATATAATGGCTCCTAAGGGTTTCTCAGATCGTAAATCTTTATGGGAAAAGATAGCCTCATCTTTCTCCCAAAGAGTGGCTCATGGGCTTGAACCGCCAACTTTGCAACTAGTCAGTCCAGTGCCTAACCCACTGCACCACCAGGGTTCCTCATTACCCTCTTAGGGCATGTTTTCCCTTGTCAGTGGCAGGGAGATGTTTTGGTTTGAGGCAGCATGGGGGTCTTTCCTAGCTCTGTATGGCCCTACAGGGAAGCATTCCACACAAGTAGGTGGGAGCCGCTCTGAGGGCTGAGTTCAGAGGATGACACAAGGTTGGGGTGGGGGAAGTGTCTGGGCCTCCAGAGCCCACTCCCGGTGATTTTGGGTCACCAAATGTATGAGTGCTCCTGATTAAACACCTTTGGAGCTGGGAATGATGACGGGTGTGAAAGGCTGGGATGGGTCCTAAGCCTCCCACATTTTTGAGCCACAGAGCAAGAAGGGGCTTTGGGAGAATGCTGCTTGTGGTCCCAGCTTCCCATTGTACCAGGGGGGAAACTGAAGCCCAGAGTGGAGGTCCAGGTCACATGGCTGCCAGGTAACAGCCTCTTACTCACAGTGGGCATCCAGGAATGTGAGCACCTCGGCCTGTGCCACGCTGGCCCCCAGCAGCCGGGCGGTGATTAACCCCTTCCGCTCTTGCTGCCGCACTACCCTCACGATCTGCAGATGCGTCACGTACTGGTCCAGCTGCTTCTTTAAGTACTCTGCAAGGGACAGTGTCATTGTTGCCAGCTTATCACTTTGTTGCAAACCTAATCCTCTGTGGGCACTCAGCCCAGGTGCTCTTGGGACTCCAGCCTGCTTGGATTTTAACCCTCCAACACTTACTGCATTAAGCAATTCAAGTGGAGTAAAGGAGTAGTAGAGAAATGAGAAGAAGGGACCAAACCCATCCTGTCATTCCAAGTCCATTTTGCTGGGACAGTGGCTCTGTGGTCCCGGAGCCTGGGTTATTTATGTAGGCACCTCGTCTAACGTCATGACCAGACCTCAGAGTAGTTTCTTTGTCCTCAAATCAATCACAGTATTCTGACAAAGGAGCTCAGACGCCTCTCTTGGCTTTCTTACCACCTCAGCCGCCATCTTTCAGAACTGTGATTCTAGCCTCCTCTCCTTCCCAGCTCAGGAGCTTGTGGCTTCTCGGTCTCCCAGAATCTTCAGAGTAAGTACACATATTCTGATCGCTTGCTTGCTGGATCAACAGCAGAAAGTAGTCTTATTCAAATCCTCTTTATTACTATCTTTTTTTTTTTGCTTTTTATTGTGAACTGGGTGAAAGCTTACAGAGCAGATCAGTTTTCCATTCTACATTGTATAAGCATTTTGTTTCATGTCATTGATTGCAATCCCACAATGCAGCAGCACTTATCCCACCTCCTCCCTGTGATTCCTATTTTCACTCCTCCTTCTTTCCTCACCCTTCTGAACTTTGTCCTTGGGTAAATGCTGTGCTTTGGATCTCAAATAGCAGATGATTTTAAGGTGTGTGTACCTCCTCAGTGTTATTGTTCCCTTATAGATCTGTCTACTGTTTGGTTAAAAATTGAGCCACGGGGTGAGTTTAGTTTCAGACTTGAAGAGCTGCTAAGGGCCATAGTCTCTGAGCTCTTTATTTGACCAATAAACCAGGTCTTTGTTTGTTTTTTTTTTGTTTTCACATATGGTATTCTTTAAGAAGATGAAAAGACATACCAGGTGCCAACCCTGGTCCAGGCACAATGCTAGGGATTTGGGGATACAGGGTGAGCCTGGTTCCTATGGTTACTGTCCTAAGGTGTCTGAGATTCGTCCAATCTCTTTCTGATCTTGCTGTCCAGTGCTTTATCCTACAGTGCTATACCAGGATGTCTCAGTATTTGTAGTCAGGCACTAGCCAGATCTTCCAGTCTCATTGTAAAGGTGGCAGTAGGTCATGGAGGCAACAAGCCCCACATTCCATAGCCTTCTCCTTTTCCTGACTTTCTTCCTCAGTTGCTACAGGTGAACAGAAACCAATTGTTGTGCCTTAGATGGCTACTTGCCAGTTTCTAAGGCCCCAGGCACTATACAACAAACCTTGTGGTTAACAGGTCAGTACTTCTCCTACAGTGACACATCAGGACTCTTGGAGGGTAGAATTGTTGTTGTTAAATACCATGGAGTCGGTTCCAATTCATAGTGACCCTGCATAGGGATTCCGAGGACTGACTGGTCGAGGTGGAAAAGAAACACTAAACTCATTATTTGGCCAACTAACTTGGACATCATGTGAAAAAGGGACCCTAAACTTCTAAACCAAAGAACCAAATCCTTGGAGGTATTTGGTTGTATATAAGCATCTCAGAGCTATTTTTTTTGGTCATTGTTGTAAATATATTTATCACACAATTTTTGTGAACTTTTTAAGGTATACAAATTAATGACAGCAATTACAATCATTGGCTGTGCAACCCTACTCTAAATCAGTGTGATTTTCCCACCACCGTTCACCCTGTTTTCCCTGTTTCCTGTCTTCTGCCTGCCCCAGGTAACCAATAATAAACTTTGGTCACTCTATTTGCTGTTTGTTGTCTTTTTATATAAGTGACGCCACACAATGTTTATCCTTTTGTGATTGACTTATTTCAGCATGTCTTCAAGCTTCACTCATATCTGTTGTTGTTAAGTGTCGTCGAGTTGATTCCGACCCATAGCAACCCACTGGAGCATGTATCAAAACTGCATTTCTCCTACTGACGGAGTAGTATTCCATTGTACATATGTCCCACATTTTGTTTAGCCATCACTGGGCATTTCTCCCTAACTTTTTATAGATGGGAAAACTAAGACTCCAAGTGATGAGCTCTGGGTTACAGAAAACACAAAGCGCAGTGGCAAGACCCTACCCAGCATGCCTGAGGAGTCTCACCTTCCACCTCCAGAGGCTGCAAGGACACATAAGTACAGGTATCAAAGTGGCTTCTGTGCCCTCCCTCAGTCACCCGGGGCCTCAGTCATGTGTGAGACCCTAGGAAGGAAGAGGGGTGAAAGGGACTCAGATACTGCTTCTCTTTAGATTTGCTTCGGTCACTGGCCAGGATGGAGAGCCCGGGGGGAAAGGAAACTTTGCACCAATAGGAACATCAATTTTTTTCTTTTCTCTCTCTTCATTTCTTCTGGATAGATGATATTTTGCATGTGGTGCCAACTCATGAAGGGATTCTTCAGACAGTCGTTTGAGAAGGGGCTCTATATTAACTTCAGAAATTAAGCCTCTTGTCTTAGGTACCAGGATCCCTCTGGAGTCAAAATTAGTCTCATATGACAGTTTACTCAGCAAACATCTGTGAAAACCCTACCCAGCTGTCAGACACTAAACTGAGCAACGAGGGGCTTCTCTGGGTCCTGCCTTTAAGGAGCTCCCAGATTCATAACCTCACTACAGTCCCAAGTGCTGGAAGGGGCGAGAAACCCCAGCTAGCAGCTTCACCTTTTCAGGGTGGCTGATGTTTCCTCTGAGAACTTGCGTAACTGTGTGCACAGGAAGTTTGTAGTGGTAGAGAGAACCCAGGAACAAAACATCACAGGAAGTGGGTTTTGTGGTAAGAGACTACAAAGTGCTGAGCTGTGAACCTCAGGGGGCCTGGGTTATACCCAATGCTGTCTCCACATCTCCCATGCCTTCCTTTGAGTCTTAGGCTGGGAGGCTAGACTAGTGGATTCTGAGCCTGAGAGGCAGGGCTCCTATGGACCCCCATTGTTCCCAAGTGCTGGCCTCAAGCCCTTATGGGAAATGAGACAACTCCCCTAAGTAATGCCCCTCTGGTTAGTCCTGCACCTGCTGCAGCCCTAGACACATGATGCACATGATGGACACATGATGCACAGCTGAGAACGGAAACACAGACATGCCCATGCATTCTCTCTTGTGTCCTCCAGATGAGCCTCCTGATTCAGATTTAATACCCGAACCATTGTCAAGCTAGCTTCCTTCCACACAATTCCTGACCACTGCAACCCCCAAAACACACACACACACACTTTACTTAGTACCATGGTTTGAAACCTCCTGCTTATGCAGATAGCTGCCAAGTCTTTTCCTGGCCTTGCTATCATCACTTGGATGTCTAACAGAACCTAACATATGTCTGAAGGGGAACTGCAGAATTTCATCCCACACCTACCTGACCCTCAGCCTCCCTTATGTCAGTAACAGCATCCCTCCAGCTGCTCAAACCAGAAGTGATGTGAGAGAATCCTTTTTCTCACTCTCCACAGCCAATCCATCAGCATGTCATGCCAGGTCTGTCTTTCAACCCCACCGTCACTCCAGTACAGCATCTTAACTGGTCTTCTGGATTGCATCCTCTCATCTCTCCCCAGTCCATTATTGACACAGCAGCCAGTGTAGGAAGCAGAAGTGTCTCCTCAAACTACAAGAGGTCCTCAAAGAGTTCATGGAAAATGTGTATCATGAACAAACAATGTATGGGTTTCTTTTTTTTTTTAACCAAACTAAACTCACAATAACTTGTTATAATATGTCTGAGCAGGATCTAGTTTAAGGCACAAAAAAGGATAAGATAACAGTTTGAAAAAAGCCCCTCTCAGAGCAACAGAAATTCTTCTAAAATTGAAGCAAGAACCACCATCAAATTTATGGTGAAGCTTGGATGGAAGAAGAGTGAAATCAATGATGTTCTATATAAAGTTTATGGAGACAGTAACCCAAAGAAATCAGTAATTTACAAATAAAAAAATAACTCCTTTTAAGAAGGGACGAGACAATGTTGAAGTTGAAACCCACAGTGACAAACCATCCGCATGAATTTGCAAGTAAAAAAAATTAATCTTGTTGGTGCTCTAATTGAAAAGGATGGATGATTAAGATTAGAAACAACAGTCAACATCATAGACATCTCAATGTGCTTAGTTAACATAATTCTGACTCAAAATTAAAGTGGAGCAAAGTTTCTGCTTGATGGGTGCCAAAATGATTATACCCAGATCATCCGCTGACAAGTGCAGTGCTTTCAATAGAGATTTAAAACAAGTTGGATCAACATTCTGAAGAATATACCTTCAGAAGAACTGTAACAGAAGATGAAACATGGCTTTGCCAGTACAATCTAGAAAACAATGCACAATCAAAGCAAGCGTTACCCAGAAGTAGAAATGGTCTGGTCAAAGCAAAAGCAGACCAGTCAAGAGCAAGGGTCATGGCAACAGTTTTTTGTTTTTTGGTGCTGGACCAGTTGCTGGAAAAGGGTATCATGTTTGGTAAGGTGGAAGGTCAGAGAAAAAGAGGAAGACCCCCCAGCAAGATGGATTGGCAAAATGGCAGCATCAATGGGCTTAAGCGTGGCAACAACTGTGAGGTTGGCTCAGGACCGGGCAGTGTTTCGTTCTGTTGTACACAGGGTCACTATGAATCGGTATTGACTTGATGGCAACTAACAACAACAAGACACTGCTAACTGCAAAGTTGGTAGTTCAAATTCACCATTAGAAACCCTACACAGGGTTGCTATGAGTTGTAACTGACTAGACGGCACTTTAAAACAGTAAAGTAAAAAAGTATTGCTTACTTTCTGGAGAGTCAAAAGAATGATGCTGTTGTTGTGAAGTGCTGCTGAGTCGGTTCCAACCCATAGCAACCCTGTGTAGGGTTTCCAGGGAGCAGCTGGTGAGCTTGAACCACTGACCTTGAAGTTCAAATGACTGCAATCTGGCACATTAACCCATA